TCTCCCTTGACTTATGCGTGTCATGATGGGACAAGCAGATAACCATGATTTAGTCCTCCAGGAAGGAGGACTGTTAGACAAAATACGTGGTTCCGCCCGGGATCGGACCGGGGACCTTCTCGGTGTTAAGGAGATGCCATAACCAACTAGACCACGGAACCGAGCTGTGATTGGACGCTTGACTTATTGCGAGCTGGCCCTCAAGTCGCTGGACATCATGGAGACGTGATGTGCTGTTTGCAAGTGAGCTTCGTGACTTCAAGTCCGCCGTCAATACTTCGTTTAAATCGTGACCTCGGTCTCAGCGTCTTTCTTGTTAGTTGATAATAAGGATAATAGCAGTGAGAAGGATATTAGAACAGTTGTTTCTTGCTGAAAATCAAACTTTGCTTGCCAGCATATGTAAACAAACAATGCATTTCGAAAGGCATGAAAGATCCGGTGTCAAAACTTCGTGTTACAATAGCGTAGCAACCTGATCCCCGTAGACGTACAGCCAGGTTACAATTTGCAACAATAGGGAGAAAAAGCCCTAATGCTGCCCAACGTCACTTGTGTTACAATGTGATGGTGGAACTGCCCCCTAGCAAACGACTAATAGCAGTTAGTGACACTGATAGATGCAGAGATAGAATTGATAGGCGTCCGGAGAGAGTAGACCTTCGAGGCCCCACTCATCTCTTCTTTCTCTGATCCACTCTCTCATCTTGACGCGCTCCAAATCCCTCCTCTGTGCTTCTTTTGACTTATGTCTTTTTGCACTGGTACCACGAGCTCGTTCGTTATCGCAATTTAATCCGCCTGGTTTGTTGGGAAGCCTCTTGTAAAGTATTTCTGTCATCAGATATTGCTTTCCCGAAACCAGAATCTGAGCCTGGTTGGGGTCCGATATCGTTGGTGAGTGCTCATCCGAGTCGATGGACTGCGAACGCCATGACTAATGTCTTTGAGAATCACCGAACGCAGGCACAAGGTCTAAATCAAGATACTGCCTTTTTTTTTGCTTCCGGCCTTGAGAATTCGTTCCGGCCTTGATCGCTTCCATCTCAACAAACACTTCAAGATACTGCACAGAATACTCGTTACAAAATGCCGACCCCTTCTTTGGATCAACAGGACACAGAGTCCGTCTCCTCTGTCGACAGTTTCGATCCAGCTCCGACCCTTGTCCTCAAGAAAATGACTAGAGAAGAAGCCCTTGAACAAACTGGCGAGCATATTGGAAAGATGGGCAAGTCAAAGTTTCTCGACAAACTCCTAAAGCCAGCAGTTTCGAAGTGGCTTTCGGAACCGGTCCTTCGCGTTCTCCCTCCTGAGATGAAGTCCAGCGTTCATCTCTGGTGCCAGAGCCACGATCCGGTGTGGTATAACAAGATATCTGAGTTTATTGATGAGGATATCTCCGAGTGGGAGTACACCGTTGAAGTTCCCAACAGACGCAAAGACATGCCTTGGTGCGGACTAGGTGCCGATATCCTTCGCTTCTATGTCGCTGACTTGAAGTCCCTTCGAAAGGGACTTCCTGAGCAAGAGCGCCGAGAGGTTGTCAACAAGGTCCGACAAGGACTCACGCTCTTCGCCGATTTCCACGACGAAAAGGTGAATGCCATGGAACGCGATGCACAAGACCTCTTACAACAAGAACGGGATTCCATGGATGTGGAGCGCAGCGCTTTTCTCACTGCGTTTGAGCTGCAGAACGAGGCCATCGCCGACTAGAGGGTGGGGATGGCATATTCTGTTCAGACACTACAGCACATGCTTCAGCAGGGACCGCAGATGTTTCCGTGCATCGAGAGACGTTGGTATCGGAGTTTGGCGAAGACAGGAGCTATCCCAGATAGCCTTCGCCAGCTTGTGGAGTACCATTGTAGCCCAGATGAGGCGTACCGTCTGGCTCAGCTTGAGCAGTCCTTTCTTTCCGGAGAGACGATGGGATCTTGAAGATACTATCGATCGAGTAAGTTGAGCTTTTTGTCCCATGAATCCCTTTCGTGCGTTGAGACTGACATGACTTGGAGTTGCAGGACCACAGTTGATCGAGCACATCGAGATATCAGATAAGGCTTGCCACACCAGCAAGGGGGAGTGGTATAGCGACTCTTGAAAGGGAAACTCGTGTGGAAGTTGGAACGGAATATGGCGGAGGATGGCGAGGAAAAGGGGCTGGAGATAGAGAGACGAGTGAATCATGTCAGCGATGACTGGAGTAGGTGTAAATTAGACAGATGTTAAAAGTTGAAAGTCTCAACTTGCGACGACAATTCTTATGAAGGACTATAGACTCTGAACATGTTTCAGATGGGTAAAAGGGTACGCTTGGCTGACAGTAAAGTAAATGATGCTATGGTGATTTAGTTGTGGCAGGCTGTATTCTTCACTTGAGAAACTGGCAAGCCGAGTTAGATGTTTGAGTAATGATAACCAAGAAGCCTTTTTTCATCCGAAAAGTCTCATCATAACATCATGAGTACGGTAAGTATGATATATTGACTCTCTGCCACCTTCCACAATACTTGGCCATCTCCCTGAGGTGTGTGTTGTGCTCCACTTTTAAAACCCTGGGAGATGGCGAATCACTCTCCCAACACCAACATTCAGGAATCTTTCTTCTTCCACCACTAAACAGACAACCCAAGATGGACCAAAAAGCAACAGAGCTGGTCAATGCAATCAACGAAGGGACGGCAGATATCCACAATATCGGTGTCGATGTTTGCAGCATTGTTCCCGTCCAAAAGATTCAAGTGAGCAGACTGAATTACCTCTACGAAAGAATCATTTCGGACATCTTTTATGAGGCTTGTCTCGAGAAAGACCAAGCTAAGAATTGTTTTCTCGCAATTTTAGAACGGCTTTTTGACGGGAAGCTTCTCTGGGCCTCGACTCTTGATAATTACATCGGCTTGAACTTCATTCGAAAGGGTATCCAAAAAGCCATGACACTTCAGTCGCAGGCAAACGAGATCGCGTGCGCACCAGCGAACATCCTGGGGTGTGCAATCGCCGCTATCGTCTACCGAAAACTTGAGATCGACACCAAAAACTTCATACGGGATGAAGATTTGGTCAAATTTTTCGGCAAGCTGAATGGTATTCAGTGGCTACCAGTTGCTATTCAGGTATGGGACAAAATCAAAGGAGCACCATTTGGTATTCAAGTGGATCGAAAGGCCAAACGGCCCATCGCCAAAAAACGAATGATTGACGGTGGTGAGCGTTGGGTTGTCAGAACCAGAGTGCCAGAGATGAACAGATACGAGAACATCTTCCGCGACTATACCCGGCAGATGAAGAGTCTTGGGAAGCGACTTGCAAGTCCTGGTCGGGCTGTTGTCAAATGACTACGAAGAGAAATCATGAAGAGCGCAGGTCGATCCGAGCAAACTGATCAAGAGGCCAACTTCGCCGCCACAGACGTTAGCCAGGGACAAGAGGACTTCGACTCATACAGTCGTTACAAGTCTCTCTGGAAGATGTATCTTCACCATCACGGCGGGATCCCGGACAGTCTTCGTGATCTTGTCCAACACCACTGCACTGAGAGTCAGGCCTTTCACTTGACGGAGCTAGAGAAAGAGTATCTTGCTGAGATGGAAATGGAAGTCGAAGGTTGAGCAGCGGGGTCGAAGAGAAACGTATTTTGAGAACAAAAGGAATCATATCATGCAATCGGACGAACAAGATACCTCGCTAGTACTAGATGTATGACAGCTAGCTAGATCAAGAATTGAGATGGATTGCACTCAATCACATCGAGGCGCGTAGCAAGGTGTGGTCTCGCGCTGTCCCTAAAGCGCATTATCGTAAAGTCTTCAAATTATGTAAAAGTCTTTACCTAAAGTTGTAAAACTTAGGAAGACTTATGAAATTCTTTTATGATTTTAGGTAAACCTTGATAAAACCCTTTTTTATTATGATGAGAACAATTCAGACTTTCCTGATGTTTGTTATAGTTCGTATATCTATAGATAATCTCAAGTTGTGTTTACCGCCCGGGTTTGTACGTATTGCACTCTTCTTGCCTTGGCATAACCAAAACTAACAACTTACAGTCCGGGATGACCCTGCATGCTATTGAATACTATCAACGGATTTCATCGAAACTAGCGCCTCTTTAGCCCGCTCCTCGCCGTCGCCATCTCCGCCGTGGTGGCCGCCGCCATGCCAAATGTGGCCGAGGTGGTCGCGGTTGCGGCGAAGGCTGTGGCCACCCCAGAATCGGTAACTAAATGCCGGTTTTTAAGTAACACACTGATGATATGAAAGACATATAATAGTAACTGGCTGAACAGTTTTCTCTCTTTTATCAACGACAGGGGCTGGGCGCCCTGCAGGGCTTTAAATGCCAAAGCTTTAGAGACACTTGAAGAGAGTTTTTTTTTTTGTGATCAACGGAAAATTGTTCAATTTCTGAAAAGATGAATACCTATCAACCTTGTCTTCACTTTCCTCAAGGAGGTCTCATGAACCATTTTAAATTCTTGTACTCAATGGTATCTTTGGGTTTCCTCAAATAACACCGTACCCCCTTTTTGAAAATCGACTATGGCATACACATATCCACCGCAGTAACAACAGTATGATAAGGATAAATAACTCAACCATATTCCGTCACTACATTTACAAAGCTGTCTGTCTCTCTTATATAAGTTTGGTTCCTTGCCTCACTGACGTCATTTACGTTGAATCCGGCTGCTTGTCTCACCCACAACATCTCTGTTTGCAAAAACGTTACTACTCCCTCTCCTTTGTTCGAAAAAGCAAAAGATCAAGTCCCCGATGCAGGATTTGAACCCGCGTCCCGCTTGCCCTCCTTGTAAAGGACGGCCCTCATAAGAGGAACCATAAGGGCTCGGCAAATCGGAATGCTAACCACTACACCAACCGGGGTTGTTTTTATTATGGGCAGAGATTGACATAAATCGTAACTCATTTATCGGTGAAACCATCTCTGTTTCTAGTCCTGTTTGTCTTGAAAGGCTCTATTTGTCATCTACCCCGACCACCATATCTCCAATGATAGTACGGGTATGCACTTCCTCACTAAACCAGCTATTGCAACGAACTATTTATATTATACGATGACGTTAAATAAATGCATGAAATAATAATAGGAGTGCAATTTAAGAACAAAATCTCGGAAATAGCAGAGTTAAGTGATATCTTTTTGCAACTTGTACGTGGCACTACTAAGTCTCTGCAGTGTCTGCCAGCTACTAGGCAGCCCGCAGGTGTGTTGCGTTAGTGCCTTAGGTATCTAAGGAGACAATGAATCACAGAACTTCGCTTAATAGGGCTTACCAGACTCCCGCGAGCACCTTCATTTTGTTTTTCTTTTCTTTTCAATACCAACACAAGATCTTGGACACACGACGCCTCCACTATGGCTAGAAAGAAGCCTGTCCTAGCTCCCAAACATGGTCTTCCACCAACCCTATTGGTGCCTTGCGTTCTTCAGGTCAATGGAGATCTTTTTGGCGGCCAGGGTCTCGGTGTTGCCACCGACATAGCCACGTCTCTGCTCGCCCTGAGAACCCCAGACAAGGACTCATACCTAGGCCTCATTATCAACTTCCCTTTGCCTAATTCAGTCGAGCATACTGGTTTTGGCAAGTCTTACCAACGTAAGTTCTTGTTATTTTAGTGTCAATCCTACAGGAGCTAATCATTCTTAAAAGTCAATGATCAGAAGCTCACCCTCAGCAATACTCGCAAGATCACAGTCAAGTTCCCTCGTGAAGAGATCGCCATCACCTATCGAGCTGCAGATGAACAAGAAACTGCAAGATACCCTAATGCCAAAAAGCATATGGCTTGGGTTGATGTTGTTCTCGGAAAAGACGCCGAAGTCTTTGTCAAGGGATTTGGCATGCCGTACGCAAACCCAGGCCACCCTGCCGACGATTGGCTTCACTCTCCTGATTCGGCGCCGGTTCTGGATGAGATGACACTCCTGGATATAATTCAACAGCGACACTTTTCCTTTCTTGTCAATCGCCTGGACAAAGCACTGGAGTCCAAGTGGAGCGTTGCCAGTTTGGCACCCAAGTTCGATTACGGCTATAGCGCTGACCATTCATGGGACATGGACAAGTACATGAAACAGATTGATATCAAAGGCCACCGATTCCAAGCTACCTGGAGCTTCGATACTGACGATTCTCACGTCACCGTTCTCACTCAGAGCCTTGTCCAAGATGTCCTGTGGATCCACAAAGGTTGTCTCGAGATGGCGACCAAGTTAGGCTCGGCGTACTTCGTCAAGAAGTCAGCAAGTATGAAGTCGACAAAATGGTACGCAATCGTCAGAATGGACCCGAAGTTCTGGAAACAATACAAGACTATCTGGCCTCGTGCCTCTGAGATCGCCACCATGAAGCTGCTGGTGCACCCCGGGCCAAATGAAGTTCCTGAGTCATGGGCAAACGACCTTTCTGAACACTGGACTGCCCGCATCTGTCAGGATCCCCAAAATCTGACCGCGCTGAACCAGCATCCGTTAAATGAAAATGATCTTGTCATTGAAGCCATCGAGCCAGTCGATAGCCAGCTGGAGATCAAGGAATTTACTGGCCGCGAGGAAGCCAGTGTCGCCTACGATACCAACAAAGCGCACTAGAATCGCGTTTCTTTCGAATGGTACCTGCCGCTCCGCGACACGAAGCGCAAAGTCGACGCAGTTTGCGAATTCCTCCCCTCAGCCATGCCCACCCGCCGCTTCTCTCGTGATCTGGACTTTGGAGCCTCAAGACTTGGTTCCGACCGCAATTCGATGGCCATGAGTCTTCACAGAGATCTCCTACGTGGTGATGGTTTTTGGAAGACGATGATGTCCCCGACCTCGATCCATGAGCTCGAAAGCCGCTTGGGAGATTCGAGTCTCAATGGTCGACGCAACTGGATGCGTTTAACCTCCCTGCCGACTGTTAACCTCCTGGCCGATGATGGTAAAAAAGAATGGGTTGATGCTCTAATGTCCGAGATTTCTGAAGCCGACCGGTCTCCGTTCCTTCACTACTTCAGCAAACGCCCTCTGGGACTGGGTATCATCACAGCTGTAAGTATAGCGTCATCTCATGCTTAGAATTCCACTGACTAACGAACCATTTAGGCTCCGAACTGCGACAAAGCCACCGCTGCCGCCATCGCGATCCTCGGAATGAATAGCAGTGTTGGCAAAGTCTTGACGAGCGGTCCGACTCATGCTACGGTTAACAACATCTCCGCCCACCTCTACACTGTCTCTCGCATCGTCGCACGCAGGTATAATGCCAACAACCGGGATGATAGCAGTCGTCGAGCAGCCCTGGTTGTACGCGGTTTCAAGCTTCAGGAGGAATGCGAGGCCTTCAAGAAGTTGCTTCAGGACCCCGGTCTTGGTGACCATGCGGCCCCCGTTGATGAATGGGGCACTCCGACTGAATGGAAATTTCATCTCTCCGCCTCATATTGGCTTCTAATCTGTCTTGGTTCCGGTACTCTCCTTCCCCTGAATAAGGACGATAGTAGGGCCATGCATCAGCTTCAGAGATCATTTACGCGACAAGAGAGTCTGACTCGTCTGCGTCATCGCGTCGCTGGAATGATCACCTGGGAACAGTATGTCAATGGCAAGACTGTTGAGGATACTGAAATCATGAGATTGATGAAGCAACTCATTGAGAGTGCTGACCTCGTTTGTACGACCCCGTCCCTGGCCCATACTGAGGACCATCTCTCAAGCTGGAAAGCTGAGCAAGCTCACGGTATCGCCATCGACGATGCTAGCAGCATGAGCCGTGGTGACCTGTATTCCATCTGGGGTAACACTCTCTTGCCTTGCCTGCTTACGGGTGATGAGGAACTCGCGCCTCTTGACGTGAAGAGCTACCATGACAGGGATTCCGACGGCAACATGTTGAACAGATTTGGGAATGACGCCAAAAAGTCAGCACTTGAGTTCCTCATGGCTACTGGCTGGCCTGTTTATCGCCTTGGTACACAGTGAGCATACGCTCGGGCAGTAAGACAAATGGAGAAGGAGATGACAGGAATAAACCGATTGAGTAGGCCAAAGTGGGAGAGGAAGTTTGAGAGCTTAGTTATAAGATACTTTGTTGTCGTGGGCATATATGTGCTTTCAGCCAGATGTCTCAACTGTGACGCTTTGTCTATAGTTTCAGTGCCTTAACTATCTTAAGGCCTTGTTCCTTTTTCCTTTAGTATAAGATGCAAAAGGAAGATTGGCTGTAAGAGTGCTAATAATAATGTGGTATTATCGCGCGTAAAGGGTCGCAGAACATGGTTGAAGAGGGCGGCACTTCCCGAATACTATCCGGTAAAGACCTCGCACATACAGTTATGCCAGTCGGAAACAGTGAGTCCGAAGTGATTCTCAAAAGCACGCTCTATTTCTTCAACTACACAAAGCGCCAAAGTCTTCTCGCGTTCGGTCAGTTGACGCTCCTGCCTAATGGAACCATTAGACGTCGAGACTGGATGACACAAACATCTTTCTCTATATACTCCTCCTTTATTAGAGGCGTAGCATATGCCGAGGGTCCAGCCGCGTTTGCAGGAGGCGGGTTTGCATTGGCACGACCAGGGTTGATGGGAGGCGCGGGACGAGCTGCGCTGGCACCATCGAAGTCGATGATGACGACATGTCGTTCAGCCATAGTGAAAGAGGAAGATGCTTGATAATTTTTTTTTGGTTGTTAAATATTATGGGACAGTCTGCGATCACGCTGGCTCGCGGGGTAGGTAATAGTGCGAGGAAAATGGAGAGCGTGGGAAGACGAGACTCATGAGAGGGCGTCGGGTTCTCGTTGCAAATAACAATTTCTGGCTTGTTATTGTTTCTTAGGGCTTTTGTGGAATTGCTTCGTCTGGCAGGCGGTATTGGCTGCAGAACTGACATAGAACTTAATGTAATAGATAAGGTTAATTAATCTTTGGTTTTTTTTTTTTTTTTTTTTATGCTGAGGTGACGCTTTGCTTACATATATTGTCTAAAGTACCTCACCTGTCTTTAGGTCTTATCCCTTTTGTATTTGGCACTTGTTGAAAGTTGTATATTTTGTTCATGAGAGGCTGAGAGCCATTCTGCGCTCTTCTCGTTTATAATCTTACTTATCTCCTCCCTTATCACCCTCCACCTTAACCTTGAGATCATCATCTCTCTTACTCTTTCATCGCCCCTTTCCCATCTTCACCTTGTATGACAGCTCAAGTAATTCTCTCTACCCTTGTTCAAAGCAACACTGACTTTTCATCATGTCAAGCGACTCCTCTTTGCGCAGCTCGTCGAGTGATCCACCCGGATCAGCCCAGTCAGCCGACCCATCACCCTTCTCCCTTTGATACCCGCTCCCATAAGGCCGACATCTTGAGCTACTCAGCTTAATACGGGTCGAGTTTAGGGTAATCGAGGATCTTTACTACGCCATCTTTCCCGAGGATGACGAAATGGTACCCGAGAAGATGAAGGAGTTGATGGCCGACGCCTTCCGAGGCTAGAACTCTCAGAACAAGGCACGCATCCTTACTCATTAGAAGCCGGTCTCACCTCTATTGGTGGTTATTAGAGTTGCAGCAGATGTTTGGACCGAGGACCTACCTCCATCGGAGAATGCCTTGAAGCGCAAGAGAGAGACTGGCGCAGAACCGTCAGAGATTCGAAAGAAAGCGCGAAAGGCGGGCATTTATATCTTAACCACCTTATTGACTGAAAAGTCGGGCATCAAACACGTCTGGCGTACTTCAGCATCAACCTTTGGAAAGCCCGATAAAGTCAAGTTCGTCGAAGAGTACGATCTTTGCAAGGCTCGATTTGAGGCAAATGAGCTCTACGACGAGTATACAGAGTCTAGTGTAGCCAGGTACAACCGACATCTACCTTGCTCGGAACA